CTGCCCCTGAATTGGTAATTTTAAGGAAATTTTGCAGTTTTTGGTTATTATTTTGAATATTATTATAGATAGAGATAAACTGTAAACAGCAATAATGTTCAACAAAGTAAGATCTACAAATAAGTCGTCATGACCAAAATTGTCAGTCAACCCCTTTGAGAGATATTGCCTTTAATAGTCAATTTTTAACAATTTTTCGTAAATTTTTGTAATCTTTTACAAAAATTTTCTTCTCTGAAACTACTGAGACAAATTTAACCATACTTGGCCATAATCATTATTAGGGTATCTTGTTTAAAAAATATGTCCGATGACCCCGCCTTCCAATCATCATGGCCAACTTGGTTAAAAATAGACTATAGGGGAAAATGCAGTTTTTTTATTATATCTCTGAAACTAAATATTTAGAGCAAATCTGACAGGTGGGAAAAATGTTCATCAGATTTAGATTTATCTGCCCTGAAATTTTCAGACGAATCCCACAACCCGTTGTTGGGTTGCTGCCCCTGAGTTAGGAATTTTGCAAAAATTTTGCGGTTTTTTATTTGTTATTATCTTAGATATCATTATAATATCTAATATCTAATACTATCAATTATGATTTTAACCTTATTTTACATGATTTCCAAAGCATCAGTAAATACAGGTGAGTGACACAGGCTCAGCCTCTAGTTTTCTTTAAAATTTTCCATTTTAAATTGGTTATTTCTGATTTATATATAAAAGCAATTGCAAGTAATAATGATATGGTTTGAATAGGTAAATTAAAATTTTTTACGTTCTTAGACCACATTCATTCTGTGTCAGAAACCTATGCTGTGTCAAATATTTAATCACAATCCAAATTCAGTGCTGTATCAAGCTTGAATGTTGTGTCCATACTTGCCCCAACTGTTCAGGGTTTGACCTCTGCAGCATAGCATTTTATTATGTCATTATCCTAGATTTAGTACAAGGTCATCACCTGACATGACCCGGTCATCCTATCAACACAGATATTTAAAGCTACAATATTATTCAATAAAATTAAATCACTTAGTCTAGTGATATATTTGTACTACTTAAATATGTGATTATGAACAGATATATCATGTTATGGAGGGGTATTTGCGAAAAATACCAGTCAAGGGACTGTAAAATTTCCCAAGCCGCTAGGCGAGGGAAATTCGGTCCCAAGACTGGTATTTTTCGCAAATACCCCTCCATAACATGATATATCTGTTTAATTACACCGAATAGATTTGGATTGAAACTAATTCATTAACATGTTTATGCATAATATTGAGGATAAGAGGATATTATCATAGAACTGCGGGAATTATACATGTACTAATACGCGTTAGCTCACTTTTTTATGTAACGTCATATCCGAAAAATTTTGGCAGGAAAATGCTGGAGAGGGTAAAAAAGGAATATCCAAAATGGCAAATACCATGGTATTTGAGGCAAATTCACAGAAAAACAGGCAAATTTTTTTGAAATGAGGAAAAAATATTAGAATATGCGAAAAATACACAGGCTTAGTCAACCATTCAAAATCTGGCTTTTTTTTTATATAAGGTGTAATTATTAAAGAAAGACAACTCTTTACTTCCAACCTTTATGGACATAATGTTACTTGAATCAGTGATTTAGAAAATCACTCATTTAAGTAAGTCCCCTGACTGGTCATGACAGCAGTTGGTTTATAAAATTTGAAAGTTATTAGTTCTATGACATGAAACATATTATTGTCATTTCATGTTAATGGACTATAGCAACATTTTGTTATTCAAAATTATCCTTAGCCATAGGACATATTCTAGGGTACATGTAGATTTATTTTGTTTGATACACATGATACAAGACTATCGAAAGAAATATAATATATGCTGTTAATACAGAAATTTTCGCTATGTTTTCATAATTACGAAAATTGCACCGAGACAAGTGTTGCAAAAATAAAAACTAGCATTTTCAATTTTTTTTTTTTTTATTTTTATAATTTTCAAGAATTACAACAAATACAACACATCAAACATACATACAGTAATATTAGCAATACATTTGAATATATATTTATTTATGACAATAAACATTGTTGAAAATTCAGTTTTATATTTATATGAAAAGAGAACATAAATACGGAAGAAAAGATAATTTGAGTTAAATGTTTATGTACCACTGTGTGGCACATGAGAAGGATAAATAGATATAGGAAGATGTGGTATGAGTGCCAATGAGACAACTCTCCATCCAAGTAACAATTTATAAAAGTAAACCATTATCATGATTATAGGTCAAGGTACAGCCTTCAACACGGAGCATTGGCTCACACCGAACAGCAAGCTATAATGGGCCCCAAAAAATTACTAGTGTAAAACCAAAACTAGTGTAAAGTATTTTATGAAAAAGGGGAAGAGGTTAAAATATCCAGTAAGATTTTCAGTACATTATAAGTTGTGCTATTAGATACAATAATATATTATGTTAGTTTTGACAATAATTGTCTGTAAATAATAAATGACAAATTGAATTATAAAAATAATTCTTTAAATACATTCCACATGGTATCAAAGTACTCTTGTCTCTTATTTTTGACTGCCATTATTTTTTCTAAATTGTACATATATTTTAGCTTTTCTTTAATGGCACTGAGTGAATGATCTTTTGAAAAACATCTACTGTTGTATATATATTGTTTCATGTATAGAAAAATCAAATTATATGGGTCACCTTTTCGAACTTTTGATATATCTCCAAAAATAAAATTTTAACTTATTCAATGGCAGGCTTACCCCACCAGATAAAAACCAATAATCAATATCTTGTAAAAAATTTGGATAATCTCACAATTCCACAGAATATGTTCAACAGTTTCATCTTCTAATTTACAAAAAGTACATAGAGGGTTATCAATAAGTTTGAATTTACATAAAAAATTATTTTTGGCAAGAATATTCTGTGGTTGATTCTGTACTGAAGCCACTGTAGTTTAGTATTGACAGTGACTGTAAAAGGTAGTTTGAATATATGTTTCCAAATGAGATCTTCGCCTAATATTTCACCCCACTTCAGTTGTCCTGTTGGAGTCACATTGCTACTAATGAGTATTTTGTACATATCTTTAGAACCTTTTCTACTTTTAAAAAAGACTTGTAAGCAAGCTGGAATAACTGGACAACATAACTTATATGAATCTTTTTTGTAATTATTTGATAGCAGAAATAACACTCATGTAATTCAAAAAATTTACATTGATATCGTAACATTGCTGTAACAATTCTAATGAAATAAAAAATCCATTTTCATCTATTACATCATTTACATATTATTGCGTGTAAACCATGATTAAACCAATGTTGGTAAAAAACAGGTTTATTACAAATTCTAATCATATTGTTAAACCAAATAGGACTTGATAAAAAATATTCATAGTCCATATTTCTTTCTTTATCAATTATCATTTCCCATGCTCTGAATACATCTTTCCAAAAACTGAAAGCATTTTCAATTTTGATAGGGGGCCTCGGTGGCCGAGTGGTCTAAGTAGTTACTACTGTAATCACTAGCCAGTCAACACTGAGGTTGTGAGTTCGAACCCCACTCGTGCGGGTGCACTCGACTCCAATCTTAATTGACTAGGATTGTCAGTTTTCCTATCGAAGGTCGGTGGTTTTCTCCGGGCACTCCTGCTTCCTCCACCAATAAAAACTGGCCACCACGAAATAGCCCAAAAGTGGTGCTTAAAAGTGGCGTTAAAACACCAAAAATCAAATCAAATCATCAATTTTGATAGCAGAATTTGTATACAGCATTTCCTGCAACTACAATAATTAATATCACATTTATGTCAATTGTCCAACAACCACAATAATCATGATAATATGTGATTTACAGTATTCCCTTGAATCCAGATGAGAAAATCTGAAAGGCTGAAAAAAATATGAAGAATGGAAATTTGATTATTCTTAATAAGATATTATAGTTTATCAGTTTTGACATATATTTGAATGAAAACATTCAACAATTCCAAGAATATTATTTGAATATTAATTATAGCAAAGTCATTGAAAGTGATGCAGGTAAAAATAGATCATATACTGTAAATTCAGAAACTATTGCGATGTTTTTATTATTGCGAAAAATGCGACAGGGTTATAATCGCAATAATTTAAACTCGCATTTTGAAAATTTTTTATATGAATTAAACAGGATGTTTCTCAATATCGCAAAAATTAAAATCACATTTTAGTTTAAAATGACAAAATCGCAATAATAAATGCACGCAATAATTTCTGAATTTACAGTATAGCCTTTGCTATGGGAAATTATTCAGTCTAGCATCAGGGATATAATATTTCTGAATTGAAAACCTATATTTAAATTAATAAAAATATTCATATAGTTTTACAAAATGCTTAAAAATAATTTTTCTATGACATATTCATAAAATTCATTTTTATCATTTCAGCAATCTCATTATTGGGATTTTCCCTTTGCTGAAAATAGACTTTTGTGAAATCAAATCAATATCTCTTTCACCTGCACTTCAAACTTCCTGCTTGTTTTTCATGTATTATTTATTCATACATGCCATGCATAGACTGGTATAGTGATAGCCAAAACATGGACTTACATGTGTATACTAGTGCCATGAGTAACACTGAGAAGTGCCATTTACTGAAATGCTGAGACAGATAGCAAACACATGTCCACAATTGAACTTCCATAATATGATTGATTGATTGATTGTTGGTGTTAAATGCCACTTTTAGAACTATTGGCTATACATGTATGATGGTGGTCAATTTTTTATTGGTGGAGGAAGCCCCAGTGCTGTGAGAGAGCTACTGATCTTTAGCATGTTTAGCAGGAAACTTCCATAATAAAGACTGTCTTTTTTTACAACACATAATTAAGAAAGTTTTCCTCAACCATATTGTCAACTGACCGGTTTAATTTTTTTTTGATTAAACAACATTATTTTGACAGTTAAATGATGGTTACCCTTTTTTCAGGTGAACAATTGAAAAAAAAAGAAAGAACTGAAGCAACAAAAAAAAGAAAAAAGGTAAAACAGCGACAATAAAAAGGAATAACTGAAGCAGCAAGACAAAGAACAAAATGGGAAAATACTCAGGAAAAACATGTCGATTGTTGACTATGTTGGGGATGACCGCATCCTTTTTCCTTGTTGAGATTATTGTGGGCTATGTAACAAATTCTATAGCATTAGTGGCAGATTCATTCCATATGTTGTCAGACGTGGTGGCATTGATTGTAGGCTTTGCCTCTGTTCGGGTAAGTAGCTTGTAACAATGTACATAAATCTATATATATGTAAATAATTACATTACATGTATGTTTCATTATAATACTTTATTTTGATTGGGTAACATCAATCTTGCATTATTCTGAAATTAACCTTCATTTCAAAATGAAATGTAATATTCATGATGGCACGAGCTTCCACAATAAAGTGCAAAGGTAAATAAAAGAAAAACTTGATAAAAATCGTGTTTTCATGATCCTAGCAAAAAAATGTAATTATAAGTATTGAGTGCTTCTTTTAGTAATTTTATAGGGTTGTAAAAGCGTTGACTGTGCGCACATTTTTAGAATGAAGCGCATCTGCGCTTCATACAAAATGTACTTCGGTCAACCCTTCTACACCCCAATAAATTTACAAAAAGAAGCATTGAATTCTTAAATGACTCCTTATATGACTCTTTGAAAACTGAAACTAAAATTTATGTTTATATAGCCTTTGCAGTTAGGATTGTAGATTTAAGTTGAATGTTCAAATTGTGATGACTGTTTATCATGTTTTTTGGACTGTAAGTTCTGACACCATAGTTTGATTATTACTTAGGTCTGCAAATCTGTGTTGTGTCTTCAGTTAATATAAAAAAAAAATTGATATCCACTTATATGCCAGATATTGGGATCAAGCCGTATGAACTGAAGAAAATTTGAACATTCATAAGAATGTACTTTTACTCATAATTGCATTTTTATGTTTTGTACAAGTGTTTTTATGAAATTATTAGCATTGTATTGACATTCTTTACATGTGCAAAAACTATGTGCATAAGCACAAGACCACCAGTTATGCAAAAACATCATGAACATGACAGTTACACTTACATGTATTTCAGTTAACTCTTTTTAATGATTAATTACATTGCACAATGAATTATGCCTTGTTTCCATGTTGTATTGACATTTTATCATATTTCATATCTATTAACATGTAATGACTAGGGTAGGCTGGTTTGAAGTTGTACAGACTATTTGTGATAACTAAAAACATTTAAGTTTCATAAACTACTGAAAATTGGCACATACATGACATATAAAGTCTTCTGAGTTCAAATCTACAAAAGGGCTTCAAATGTCCGAGCAAGTTCAAAATGTCTGAACCTAGCTCACTGACCATTTACATAATGTACATTTTTTGCTCATATGCATATATACATATGGATAATGCAAATGATTCCAAAGGTACTGGAACTTAACTGTACAGGACACATGGTCCAGTAAATACTGTGGATTCATTTATTTTCGTGGGTACCAATTTTTGTGGATTAAGGAAAACTTACATATTTGTGGATATCTAATTTCTTGGTTTTGCCGAAGTCTGCATACAAGCCTATAGAAAACTTGATTTTTAGCTCACCTGGCCCAGAGGGCCAAGTGAGCTTTTCTCATCACTTGGCATCCATCGTCCGTCGTCCCGCGTCCATCGTCCGTAAACTTTTACAAAAATCTTCTCCTCTGAAACTACTGGGCCAAATTTAACCAAACTTGGCCACAATCATCATTAGGGTATCTAGTTTAAAAAATGTGTCCAGTGACCCGGCCAACCAACCATGATGGCCGCCATGGCTTAAAATAGAATATAGGGGTAAAATGTAGATTTGGCTTATATCTCTTAAAACAAAGCATTGAGAGCAAATCTGACAGAGGTGAAAAGTTTATCAGGTCAAGATCTATCTGCCCTGAAATTTTCAGATGAATCGGACAAGCCGTTGTTAGGTTGTTGCCCCTGAATTAGTAATTTTAAGGAAATTTTGCCGTATTTGGTTATTATCTTGAATATTATTATAGATAGAGATAAACTGTAAACAGCAATAATGTTCAGCAAATAAGTCTACAAATAAGTCAACATGACCCTTAAGGAATTATTGCCCTTTTATAGTCAATTTTTAACAATTTTTCGTAAATTTTTGTTATCTTTTACAAAAATCTTCTCTGAAACTACTAAGATGAATTTAACCAAAGTTGTAAACAATCATCATTAGGGTATGTAGTTTAAAAATTGTGTCTGATGACCCTGCCCACGAACCAAGATGGCTGACATGGCTAATAATAGTACATAGGGTAAAATGCAGTTTTTGGCTCATATATCTAAACCCAAAGCATTTCGAGCAAATCTTTCAGAAACAAAATTGTTCATTAGGTCAAGATCTATCTGCCCTTAAATTTTCAGACCATTCAGGCAACCCGTTGTTGGGTTGCTGCCCCTGAATTGGTAATTTTTAGAAATTTTTTCAGCTTTTGGTTATTATCTTGAATATTTTTATAGATAGAGATAAACTGTAAACAGCAATAATGTACAGCAAAGTAAGACCTACAAATAAGTCAAAATGACCAAAATGGTCAATTGACCCCTTAAGGAGTTATTGCTCTTTATGATCAATTTTTAACAATTTTCATAAATTTTGTAAATTTTTACAAAATAATTTCCACTGAAACTACTGGGCCAAGTTCATTATAGATAGAGATAATTGTAAGCATCAAGAATGTTCAGTAAAGTAAGATCTACAAACACATCACCATCACCAAAACACAATTTTGTCATGAATCCATCTGTGTCCTTTGTTTAATATGCACATAGACCAAGGTGAGCGACACAGGCTCTTTAGAGCCTCTAGTTTATGTAGTGTTTTGTTGAAGGTTGTTTGGCTATTTGCTGTTTTTCATTTTTTGTCATGATTTTTTTTTCTTCAATTTTTTTGTTGAAAGATTTTACAGATATTGCCTTTGTTAGAATAGGAATAACAGAAATGTATCAATTTTGGATTTGATGGTCTGCAAGTATATGTTTTACTTTTGGTGGCAACCATGGCAACTCTTCAAATGCAATACTGTTATTCATTCACCATAATCAGCATATAGTTTTTTTAAACATGTTATATTTGCTTAAAACTTAAAGTAAGGGAATGAAAGATTTAAATCAATACATGCACATAACATGCATAACTGGAAATCAAAAACTGAAAAGGTGAGGTGTAAGTTCTTACAACATGTATAAGTTAATGTGTTTTTTAGTTGTTGTTGTTTATTAGTGTTTTGACCCAAAAGTAATATATATTCACATTTTTATATTTTGATCTTTTTAAAAATTACTGGAAAGCAATGAATCTTCAAAATGTTGGATGACAGTATAAATATTTGAAACAAGAATGACTACATTTCAAGGTCAATGTAAGTTCTTAGAGGTTATTGTGACTTTTTTTTAAAAAGTAAGACCCTGAACTATTCCATGTTCAAGTATCATATCATGTATTTTAATTGTTGTGATATAGTTAGGGGAAGTACAATTTCATACTCTTTTAAAGTCTTTTAATTACCATATATTTGAACAGACACAACATTACTTCATGTACTTTTTGAGTGACCTTATAATGACTGCAATTTCATATAGGCCATTATGCACAATTTATTCAAGTACATGTATACTGTAACAGAATAATTTTTCTTTAATTCTTTTATCCTATATATAATAAACTTGTTACATATGATGGCACACATCCATGATATAAAAGGTTGTTTTCAGATTACTAAATGAGATAAATTTTCCACAATAGGTAACCCCAAAAAACCTTTTGTGATACAAGCTGCACCTCTGTAACTATTCATGTACATGATGTAAGTCGGCATAGAAATATGGATGAAAAAATACTGGACAAAAAACTATAACATCAGGAGTATAACACATGAAAACAACACATCAACATCGAAAACTAAATTTTAAAAGTACCAGAAATATTACATCTATGTCTGTCAATGTTTGGTTAGGTGGCATCCTGAAAATTTTCCTGGGGAACTTTCTTATTTTTCTTCTCTGTAACAAGAAAGTGAATGAAAAATTTCCTACAATTGGCTATAACAAAAAAGACTAAAGAACTGATACATTATAACCAATATAAAAATAAGAAGATGTGGTACGATTGCCAATGAGACAACTTTTCACCAGCTACCAAATGACCAATGTTGTTGTGTTCACATATCAAAGTTTTGAGATGATTTTTTTTTTTAAGTTATATTACTGCCCTTTGTCATGTTGGTCAATTTGGAAAATCTTTAGTCTCTCATGAAAGTTCATGAATGCAAAATATATGAAATGGTGAGAAACTTGTGAGAAATGTGGTTTGTCAATGTTTGTAAGTGCACATTTTTATGACATACATTGTACATACATGACATATACAATGATATAAGTGTAGATGTAGATGTGATAACACGTACTTTGTGCTTGTTCACACTTATAGATTATTTACCCCTATATAAGTATAGATGTAGGTGTGATAACACGTACTTCGTGCTTGTTCACACTTATAGATTATTTACCCCTATATAAGTATAGATGTAGGTGTGATAACACGTACCTTGTGCTTGTTCACACTTATAGATTATTTACCCCTATATAAGTATAGATGTAGGTGTGATAACACGTACTTCGTGCTTGTTCACACTTATAGATTATTTACCCCTATAACATTAATTCAGCCTTTAATGAAAACATATTTAAAGTATAAAACAATGAACTGTATGTTAATTTCTCCCCTATAGTGAGAGATTTTAAACTTGAGTCACTGATAGTAGAATAGATAGTGTATGTTTAATAATACTTACTGGAGTACGTAGCTCCTGGCTCTTTGGTATTGGTCACATTGTAGGTTCAAAGAAGGAATGTAATTACATGCTTACAACTGTTATAGTTAACTAATGTGGAACGAATAAGATACAAACTGTCTTTGGCACAAACAATGCTTCTGTTGCAAATATGTTTTTCTGTGACAGCTGAAAATATTTCATTTGCAGACGGGGATTGATATAAGATCTGCCAGGAATTATGCTTTCAATAAATCAGAATTTTAGTCTGATGTCGTCATATGTATATTGTATAGAAAAACAAATCTAATTTAAACACCATACAATCATGACAAATGAAAAAATTATTCATTTCAAATTTGATGTTGGAGTTTTATCTAGTGTTAGAATTAATACAATGTATAACACTTTAAGAGAAATAGGATTTATATTCAAATTAATGTATTTAAAATTTCTGTATGCCTCTGGCTTGATACATGCATTTCATATCTGATGTACTTGTCATCATCAGGAATTGATTGGACTTTTCTATGGTATAAGAGATTTCTAGATTATTGAAAAATTGTATTGTAACTCAAATTTAAGTAGAAGTTTGTAATACGTGTAGTATGTGTTGCCATAATTAAAGTATTGATAACCAAAAAGAATCTGTGAAATACAAAAACAATAATTCAACAGTTTGAAAAAGGTACCCCTGCCCCCGAGAAAAAAACGACAAAACAAATATGTTATGATACTGTTTACAAATCATGCATATAGCATAATCATCTCCCCCCTTTCCTCCCAAGAAAACAAAAAATTAACAGCATGTTATATTACTGCTATTAAGTATACATTGTAAATCACTAATTCATTGTTGATTTGTACATGTATATTTTTCAGATATCAAAGTGGCAAACTCACAAGAACACATTTGGTTGGATACGAGCAGAAATTCTTGGAGCATTTGTTAATGCTGTTTTCCTGATTGCTTTGTGTTTTTCCATCTTAGTAGAATCATTAAAACGTTTGGTTGAGATAGAAGAGATCAAAGACCCTAAACTATTACTAATTGTTGGAAGTTTGGGACTAGCAGTTAATCTTATTGGTCTTTGTTTGTTTCATGAACATGGTATGTACATGTTAACTATAATGTTAATAGATACACAGGGAAACAGAAACCTAAGGGTCCACACAATAATATGGAATAAGAAGTGAGAGGACCAGGTGATAAATTATATACATTCTGAACACAACAAATAAAAAGCAGATCAATTTATCCAAATAATTCAGTTGATATGTTTTGCTGCTCTACGATGACTATATGATCGCCTTTTAAAGTGCTTAGTTAATGAAAACCCATCAATCTAATTTACCTATACAGATAATCTAAAAAAAGCCAATTGATATTGGCCTGCTTTCCTAGAGAGCACCAATCAAAATTCAGAATTTGTGACTTGTTTTAATTTTATAAAGAGTTCAGGCCCTTGCGAGTGGTAGAGATTGATTACAAGAAGAGCCTGAATTATTTTGTTTTGCAGATCAAGAGAAAATCTATTTCTCACCTTATTGCCATCAGTTGGCATCCTGCCTCATCAGTTAACTTTTACAAAACGCTTCTACTCTATACACTGCTATAAGCTTCCTGGCAGTTTGGCAACAATGTTAATTGGGGTATATATTTAAAAAAAAATGTGTTAGAGAATATAAATGATAAAAAAATGGTCAGAAAAATACATGATCTACAAATTAAACAACATGGCTGAAATTGTCAGTCCACTCCTTATAGGAAGTTTTGCCCTGTTATTACAATTTAAACCCATTTTCGTCTGACCTGGGACTAAAGTTATGGAAAGCGAGACATAGGGATTGCTTTTTCGGCGACAACTCCAGGGTCAACAATTGTTAAGTTTTCTGATTAAGTCAGTTTGATAAGATCTACATATGATAGATCAATACTATTTTGTATGATAGATCAATACTATTTTGTATGATAGATCAATACTATTTTGTATGATAGATCAATACTATTTTGTATGATAGATCAATACTATTTTGTATGAAGTTGCATTACTATCAGTATTGTTGTTCCGATGATCGGAATAAGTCGGAAATCAGTTGGTTGGGCCTGGCGATGTTGATAATCGATTGGGATTTTGTTCATTCGATTGTCGTTATAGTTGCCAGACTTTTAGCATTTCAAATTCCGGTCCGTTTACGGTTTGCATTTTACATGCGCAGTCAAACAAATTGTAACGAAAAATTCAGTGGATGACATGAAAAGGAAACAAAAGATCAAATATGAACATATAAAACTCTGCAATTATATGGAATATACGCATTAGACATGTACAATGTGACTTACTGCATGATTTCATTTTAAAAGGGCAAGGTATAATGATGCGATTATAACCGATAGTCGGTTGGTTGCTGTCAACAGATAGTAATAGATAATCGGTTGGTAATTTCAACCGATTATCCAACATTAACTATCAGTACATATCAGTTTGATGATTTTTTTGAGGCCCTGCCCCCTAGGACATGATCAAGTGACTTTGAACTAATTAGACATCAACAATTGTTAAGTTTTCTGTTTAAGTCAGTTTGATAGGATCTACTTGTGATAGATAAATGATATTTTGTATGAAGTTGCATTACTATTAGTACATATCAGTTTGACCACTATTTTGAGGCACTGCCCCCTAGGACATGGTCCAGTGACTTTGAATTAATTAGGAATTTTCAATGTTATTGTATCTGCTTAAAGCTGTCAAATTCATGTTCAATGATTTAACTCTAATTCTCATATTTGACTTATAACATACTGAAAACGTATATCCAAATTAAAAAAAGTATAAAATAAACAATTTACGATACATAAACTCGATAGTATGTATCAGCATTTCGTGTGTATTTTAGTCTAGATGCCATCAAATTAACCATCTAGGTGACCTTCCGAAGACTGCCGATGGTCATATAACCCGATATAAACATAAACATAGATATAAATAGATAGCGAACTCGTGCAATTGGATTTTTCTAGGTCTGTTTGATTTCTTACTAAAGGTTAAATTAATATGTTAATAATCATTTTTACCAGTATAAGAATGAGTTTTTGTAGATCGAATCAGTTAAATAAAGGGTTTACCCTTGTTTCACTTCCAATGTTGACATTCTTTTCCTTTTAATAGCTAAATACGCCTAGTTCATGTGTATCCCATCTCTAGCTGTGGGGTTCAATTGAAGTTCACATGAATACAGATTTAATGAGGTTGAATTATTCACTTGGAAGTGAATAATTCATTAGCGATGTTTCTTTGCTTGTTTTGGCAAAAATGATCCAAACTGGCTGCTTAAAGCAAATTATTATTTCACTATTTCACTTTCATTAATGATTGTTGAACAAAACAAAATCATATTTCATATTTATCTATTTTTCGTAGCTAATGCCCCTTTAAGTTAGTTTGATAGGATCTGTTTGTGATAGATCAATGATATTTTGTATGAAGTTGCATTACTATCAGTTCATATCAGTTTGATGACTATTTTGAGGCCCTTCCCCCTAGGTCATGGTCCATCGACTTTGAATTAATTAGCAATTTTCGATGTTAAGTTTTTCTGCTTAAGTCAGTTTGATAAGAACTACTTGTGGTAGATCAATGATATTTTTTGTAAAGTTGCATTACAATCAGTACATATCAGTTTGATGACTATTTTGAGGCCCTGCCCCCTAGCATGCCTAGGACATGGTCCAGTGACTTTGAATTAATTAGCAATTTTCAATGTTAAGTTTTTATGCTTAAGTTATATTGATAGGAACTACTTACAATCAACAACGATATTTTCTATAAAGTTACATTACTGTCTGTACATCTCAGTTTGTCGACCATTTTCAGGCCCTGCCCACTAGATCATGGTCCAATGACTGGATTAATAAGCAATGCTGTCCATCAGATTGTCTTTTTCTGGATTTTATGCCGATAGGCGAGACATATCTCTGTGTCAACAGTTTATTAGTGTTTTTAGCTATAATATTTCAAACTATAAAATATAGAGAGCATGTTAAACAGCAAAACTGATAAGCTATGCAGGGTCTACAAAAAGGTTTACATGACCAAATCATCAGTTAACTCCTAATCATGCTAATAGGAGTCATTTTTCTTCAATAATGATTTTTACCCATTTTTTGCGTTATTGGTGAAATACAATTAAATGTCTCTGGTGAAAACTGAAGAAGATAATCTAGAGAGAAACTGTAAAGTACAATAAAAAAAAAATCAACTGCAAAAAAAAATCTACAAATAAGAAAAAAATAATTAAATCATCAGTCCATTATATTTGAAATAGTTTCTGGAAGCAGAAGATCACTTTATCATACTGTAGATTCTTTTATTTTAATTGGTACCAATTTTCATAGATGTAAATATTGTATTTTTATGAATTCTTTATTTTGTGGTTTTGAAAAATTCTGCATACCCAACCCTTTAAACATGTTAAATTGGAATATTTGTCATGTTGTATTTAGTTGAACACTTACTTTAATGGTTTACCTTTACTCATGAAATCCATGAAAATTAGAACCCCCACTAATAATAATGAATTGACAGTTGTTTTCTTTGTTTTTAGGACATTCTCATGGTGGTGGAAGTCATAGTCATTCACATGAAAAAGAAGCTTTAGTGGATACAGCAGAAAATGGACATGTCAAACATTCCAGTGTTAAAAATTCTCATGGTCATGGTCATAGTCATACAAGTGTTTTAGAAGACTCAGCAGATATAGATGGGGTTGTCATAGAAATGGAAGATCCAGGAACAGGTAATTTAAAAGTATAAGTTTGGCCTCCATAACCATGATAACCCCTCCATAATTTTTCAGCAAATTATATAAAAAATTTTGGTTTTGTTCTGTGATTTAAAACATTTAAGAAAATATTTGTTATCCAAATTGAAAAATATCTGACACATTAATCCTGTATTATATTCTGGTTCTAGCTTAGCATTTCATGGGGGAAAACATTTAAATTGATTAGTTGTTCACACAAGTGCTGGTCTTGAAAAATTAAGGAAATTGGTGTGGTGTTTACAGTCATCAATGAAAAGAATCACACAAACATTTGGCTAAAACATAAATGGCTGCACTAGATATACTGTGAAAGTACTCTTATTCGTGGTTACCAATTTTTGTGGTTTTTGTGGATGGCTTTATCCAGGAATTTAAGTGCCCAACGAAATATAACAACTGCTGTCCAAATCAAGACATGGAAAGATCCTCATGTAAGTTTGACTACATGGATATGGGCATATAATGGGTCCCATATAATCTAAAGAGTACATCGAATATCAGCAAATGCACTATGAACTATATATACAACTCAGACAGAATTTTATAGGAGTTACACAGCGGGTGCCACATGTGGAGACAGTGGAGCAGAAACTGCTCACCCTCAGGAGCACATGAGATCACTCTCTATTTTTGGTTGTTTTTGCACAGTCTTTAGTTCCTAGGTTGTGTTTTATGTACTGTTATTTGTCTGTTGGTCTTTTTCTTTTTAAGCTATGGCTTTGTCAGTTTATTTTCGACTTATGAGTTTAAATGTCCCTTTTGGTATCTATTACCTGTTTCATCTTCATAAAAACTGAACTGTACATCTTCCAACATTTTAATTCTCTTGAAAAATTAGTTTTGATCGCTGAAAGTCAAACTTTGGGTGATGACATGCGATGATGAAGAGTTCATTTTATCTCCTCACAATTCTCATACATATTGGAAGCTTATTTATTTCATAAGAATTAATTCTACAATTCAAAATACATTTGTAGCTTTTTTCTGTAATCATTTTCTCTAAGTGACATGTTTAACACCTTTGATGATCGTTAATCTGTTGATCATTCAATCTCGGGTTAATTAGTTTCATCACTTCTGATTAGACGTGTGCAACAATTAGAATGTTTACTTTGCAATTTTCTTCAATCAAAACAATTGGTAAGTATAGAGATATTTCCGAAAGCAATTATTTTATTAAAAATGATTTGATAATGTTGTCAGTTATGAAAGACAAATACGTAAGTGAAAATGAACACCTTATTTTGCAGTGGGCCACAAATCACAATGCAAAGCATCATAAAACAACATAATATTATGATCATTTTCAAGAATCTTCGTTTCTGATTGCTTTAAATTATTCACTTGATTTTTTTCAGAAACCTAAAATCCACAAATTTAAGAACCCACGGACATGTAACTTTTGCTCAAAGCACGATAATATATACCCATGAATAAAAGTACTTTCACAGAAGTCCATTGTGATATATTCTGAACATTTGTGAATTTTTGATTATGTTGACATTTCTGCACATTTTGTAGCCTTCTTTTTAAGCAAAAAGGAGATATAATTTGATATTCATTGCTTAGATAGGACACCCTGAGTACAATTTAGTTTTGGAGTGGGCAGTTATGAGTTTTCCAGTATTTTTTTGTTTATTTTGAGACTATTAGTAATCATAATCTGTTAAAGTAGACAGGTTGATTTGAGTCTATATGCTATGGCCCTGAAAAACTTCAACAACATGGAAATCATAAAAATTTCATTCTGGTTTTCAAGATTTAAATATATCTCTTATATTAGTTTGCCTAAACCAAATGTTATGAAACTGATACATAATGCTTATTACCATAAAACACCTGATCAAGTTCGTCACTTTTACAGTTCTCTAGTTATGTCCCTTTACAACTTTATATGCAAGCAGGGGCATCATCTGTGTCCCATGGACACATTGTCCATTTATTTCTACAGTTCCAAACATATTTTACACTAAGTAAATTTTCTATTAAGAAAAACATTACTGACAAAACATTGAATTTTTGCTGAGAAGATCTACATGTCAGAGTAAGTTCTATTGTGTAAATTTTACTCCAAAAGTTTGTAGTTCTTGCATGGTCAGTATATATATATATATATATTTTTTTTTTAGCATCTGGTGCCCAGTTAAACATGAGAGGTGTGTTTCTACATGTATTAGGAGATGCTTTAGGTTCTGTGATTGTCATTATTAGTGCTTTATTGATATGGTTTGTAGAAGCTGACTGGAAGTATTACATGGATCCAGCAATGAGGTAATAATCTTCAGTACTGATATCAGGAAAATATTTTCACAGATTTATGATGAATACAAGTACATGTATTTCATTGGTTGCAATGACATACGGCAATTTCCCAATAGTTGTTGTCAGAACATTGTTGATGACCTTGCATCAAAACGGATTGGGAATGGATTAAAAAAAAAACTAGTTCCTTGTATCTTCTACTTTATTTCCATTAAAAAGCCCAGGGTCAATGTAATAAAAAGAATGAATAAGGATGTTCGCACCTCTGTTTAAAAAAAACAAGCTTTTTAAATGACTGATATAAATTAATATTATATATATAACAAAAATTAAATAGCAGGTAAAAATGATAGGTCCATGACCTTGTTTTTGAGATATGTTAAATTGAAAATTTGCCGGGAAACAATTCTCTCTAGATTTTTCATACATTTAACATTGACACTTTTTTTCTTTCAAAAACTATAAAAAAAAATGTAAAGGATTTTATAAGATTTTCATAAACGGCTTGTTAAACTATATGTATTAAAATTATGAACAGAAAAGTAAGGGTTAGCGGGAAATTTTTTTGTTGGCACTACATGGATAAAACTAGAGGATTCCAAGTATCTTACAAAAAAGTTGAAAACAAGAGTAGCAAACATCCTTAACCAAAATATTCAAAAATAAAAAAAATATTCAACTAAACGCGCATTAATAAATTAATGTGTTGAATATTTTTTATATTTGAATTCTTCAGCTAGTTATTCTATGATTATTTTCATCTAAAGTTATGAATACATTTAAGACTTTTCTCAAAGTTTTTATACAAATACAAATGAAAGTTTCTTACTAAATGCATTGAACATGAAGCTTTTCCATTTAATAAAGACTATTTTATGCCATTTACCTCCTAAAAAAGATATTTTGATGATTAAAATATCCTGGATATATAATATGGGTTTAAAATAGGGATGTCAACGAGTACTCGAGTATTTGAGTATTGCTCGGTAGTACCGAGTATCAAACATCAAAACTATACTCGACTAATCAGTTTTCTGTTAGAATATTGCTCTTCTTTATATAAAATAGATCTTCTTGGAACCTCTTTCGGAAAATTAAATAAGCATCACTGATTAACTAGTAAATAAAATACATTTGGTTTCGAATGCTGTGCTAAATTTTCATTAAACATGCCTCCGAAAATATGTGGGTTTTACCTAGTCTAACACTTTAAACTAAACATGTCTTATCCATTCCGTCACATCGGTTACGTTAAAGCAAATATTTTTGTCTGCAAGACTGTAGTTGCAAAACCGACTGCCCCCAATAACAGTTGACAAGAAAAATTAATTTTTCCAAATAAAATAAATTCATTGCATCCTCTGGCGACTCTCAGTGAATAATTAAACTTCTAATCCTTCCGCCTTTGTAAACATTAACTGTGTTTTCTTAACAATTGCCAAATACTATTGTTTGATATGGGTTTTCCTTGTTATGATTTTTAAATAGGTGTTCATTAAATTATATTAATTAGATTATCATACATGTGATGGACTGTGGAACTAAGGTCAGGAGATAAGGAAATTTTGGTCAGGAGATTAGGACTCAGATCAGGAGGTTTTTAATTGACATAAATTTTGTCGTAAATGTAACCATGTGCTGTAGAAATTGTCTTTTAAAGTGTTTTTTCTTCAACTTTCCATCTGAATGTATTATGTTTATAGTACCCTTGTACTTATAAATTTTCTCTATCTTTATTCAACATGTTCAATCTAACATTCTTTTTTTTAAAGTATGTTCTTTAATTTCTTTTATTTTATATCAGTTTTAGAGAGCTTTCTTGCATGTTAAGGAACATATTCCAACTAGAAACAACAAATGGAAGTTTTTAACGACCTTGACTGGCTATACAGCCCTTGCACGGTCGGTAACCAACTAGAAAACAAGGGTCATAGTTGGTATATAAATTTCAATTTGAGCCTTGAAAGGAAGTATAGAACCCTCAAATAATTTTCAAATTATTATTTTTTTATTTGTCCTAAGACATTTAAAATCATTTAATTACCATCCTTTTATGATTATTTGTTCAATTTATATTTAATTTATATTCTTTTAAAAATTTACATTTGTTAAAGGAAAGTAACTTAAAACAGGATAAATCAAGGGAAGTAACCCAAAATTCATTTCAATTATTTTTAGATACACAAAGTTTTTAATACACAACGGCAGTTAGCCTGAGGTAAAAATCGTTGATTACCATTATGTTTGACACCCAAGCTGACAAGTGAAGCCATATAATTATGCATGTTAATTGATTTATAGGTAAAATAGAACTTCAGGTAATGTCAGTTACACCAGATATGTTGGGCTGAAATTTTTCATTCATGAAATATATCATACACGGGATTTTTTTCTCTTCAACGGGAGGCCAGGAGGAGACCCCTTAAAACGGGATTATTGTACTCCCGTCGGGAGGTTCACATGTATGGATTATTATTTTTTTTACTTAATTAGACTTAGTACTTGCAGGTAATGAGCTGTTAATTATGGTATGTAATTTCTTGTCCCAGATACTTATGTAGATGGTTTTTCTTCTATTGAACAACCCACAGAATGTAAAATACGTATTTTTGTGTTTCCGTGTTATAGATATATTCCCGAGCGAGTACTCGAGTATCGCTCAATAAAACCAACGAGTACTCGATTAGTAATTGGTTATCGAGTTGACATCCCTAGTTTAAAACAATTTTTCCAAAACATACATAATGCATGAAGGTTTGCTACAATGTCTGTTTTGGTGGGTGCAGTAATTGAATGAGCATTCAAATGTGTTTGAAATTTTGTACAGCAGCTGACAAAGAGTTATGATGAATTATAACTTACTAAGATAGAAAAGTGTACACTTTATGCAATTTTTCCACTGACTTTAAGATCTGCTTCAGTATGCAGTACAAACAGCATTGACTGTTGTTTAGTCACTTGAATAATGTTCAGAATTTGTAAAAAGAATTATAGAAATATATTTACAGTTTGCATACTTATTAAATGGAGCATGTGTTTGCTCTGAGTGAGAGAAATAAATTTTGAATTGATAATTTATAACAAGACTTGCTTTTTTTCAGTATATTAATGGTTATTATCATACTGAGTACCACAGCTCCATTATGTAAGTATTATATGTCATTATTGTTTGGAAAAAGAATAAAGGATAGATTTACATTTGGCATAAAGAATTTAGGATATTCGTGAACAAAAGCATATCGTAAGATCACGATTTGTTTTGGAATTAACAGAAATTGTAATTAAAAAATAAGAATATTACATTTCCTTACAGTAAGATAATTATAATTTTAAATTTGTTACAGAAATTAGAATTAACTTTAACAATGAAAAAAATCCAAGTACCTAACAGTAAAGATAATTATCATGATTATAATAAGAATGAATTTGAACAAAAGGATTGTGACAAAAAAAACTTTTTAAATGTGCAAAAAGACCAACTAGATAGGAAGTATTCCACGCTATAAATACAAGGAGATGATGGGTATATGACAATGGGATGACAACCAAACACAAAGAAAAAAACCATCAAGAAATCAAGATATGGACTTAATTAAAAGACAAGTATGCATGTCATATTATCTTTCCTGCCCCAAGTGTAAACAGTTAAAGAACAAATTAACAGATACTGCCAATGATTTGCCTTTACACCACTTTCCTATATGAATACATGTTTCATTGTTTTTTGTATGGAATTTCTGAACATATTTGTGTTTCTTTGTTTGTTTGTTGGTTGGTGTATAATGCCACATTTAGTGACCTTGGACAGTAGTCAGTGTTTTTTTACACAGCCACGTCAGTGTTTAATTTGTGTACATGACTACAATTTTTTCCATCCACAAGTACATAATTTTCTTTCACAGAGAAGTTGATTGAAGTATATTTCTTGTTAACTTTTTCTTGTGTTTATGTAGGAAGTATATACTTTAAATTGAAGTTGACTTCATAACTTTTAAACGTCTCAATGCATAAATCATCTTATTTTATTTCAGTGAGAGATTCAGGTTTAATACTGTTACAGACTGTACCGGGACATATAAGGGTACACAAACTAAAAGAAGATATAGAAAAAGTAAGATTTATGAAAATAAAAGATAGAAATAATTTTAAACCTAAAGTTTGAATTAATACATGTATTGTTATGAAAGTCAATTGCTTACATTCTTAAAAGGTATCAACTTTTTTTTTGTATTAAAAATACATAAGTCTGTTTGCTTGATTTTACAGCCATTTATAGTTTTCCCATGGAATTGCTTTAGAATTTCTTGAGGAACAACAGTCTAATCTTCTCAACTTATTTTTCAAACCATGAAAACAACCATTAATAAGTCTGTGCCATTGCTGGGATTGCAAAGATAATTAATCCTTTGACATGATATCAGTGTTTATTTGAATCTTGGTTTTTTTTAAAAAAATAAATTTTTTCACTAGCTTACTAATTCTACAAAAGTGCAATTTCTGGTTAATGTTTCCAAAATAAAGTTAAAGAAAACCACTGGAAATAAGGAATACAAGGATTGTAGTAATCATTTTTGAAAAGTACTGTGGAGAAATTGAACCAGACTTGGATTATGTAGACTTGCATGATAAAAAAAAAAGGGAATAAATACATGCAAATTCATATTACTGGAAGACAGTATTGTAAAATGTTGGAATGACATTTTAATTTATTCTATACAAATATGTAGAATTTTTCTTTATTAGTTAGGTTATAGAAAACTAAATTTTCATTTTATTTTGGATTCTTTTGCATAATCCTTAAGATAAAGTATTGTTTAGTTTTCACTACTATAAACTAGCTTGTGCAACTAATTTTTGTTTTGTTTTAAATTTGTTACTTAAAAAAGCAATTCACATACAAAGACATGTAAAAACTCCTGAAACCCCCCATGGTAGCCCTTTTGGGTTATATCTGTTGTTTTCATGTGACTGTCTCATTGACTTATACCCCACACTTTTGTTTATTCATATAATTTTTTTTACAGATAGAAGGTGTAGTAGCGCTTCATGAATTCCATGTGTGGCAGTTGGCTGGTAATAAAATCATAGCATCCACTCATATCCATGTTCATAATCTACAAGAATATATGGTAGTTGCAGAACAAATAAAAGATCTATTTCATAAAGCAGGGATACATTCTACAACTATACAGCCAGAGATTATTGATGTAAGTTTATTGACAAAATGAATTTCTATTGTACTTGTAACTTTAGCCTAGACATTTTCTAAAAAAGAATTCTTTTATATTTTAAGGTTGATACAGTAAGTTGAGATGCTAATACATTCATTTCTTAATGTGAATTATCCTACTTTTGTATTTGCCCACTGTTATTGCTAACAAATATGCCCTTTAATATAAATTTACAAAGTTTTGAATATTGATATGTGATATATTATGTGTTTTTCTTATTTTTCAGGAATTTGATGTTGCAGATTTTCCAAAGAATCAAAATTGTTCATTAGAATGTGGACCAAATAAAAATTGTTTGGTAGACACTTGTTGTGCACCCAAAAGTAAACAGGAACTTGCAAGGAGGAGCAGTAAAGAAAACAGTCCAACACGTCGGAGTCCTGATCATAATAAACTTAAAACATCTGCTTCATCCCCATGTTTTGATTAGCATGACTTTCAATTGCATTGTATAAATGTTTGAGGATCATGATAGCATGAGGTCATGGTTTATGAAAAGCATGTTGTCATTTTTGAACTAAATACATACAGGTTTGCTACAGTTTGAAATCCTTCTAAACGCTAGTGACACAATCATGGTTTAAGTTTTCTTATTCCAAACATCACAATCTAAAGTAAAATGTTGAAAATATGTTGCCATTCCAAATCTTTGAACACAGTTTTACCAATGAAATCTTGAGTTCTTCTGCTGTGTTCAACCTTTTTACTCTGATTTATTGCATCAAAGAATGTTTAAATACCTTAAACACCAAACTTAGTGACCAGGTCCAGTACAAAGCATGTTTCTTGACTATATCACATAAACTTGGTGTTGCTCTGAATAAATATGCTTGGGATATTTGTCACTGGGCCTTGTGCATTCTCAGTAATTTTATCTGCAGTGAATACTCTTTACTGTGGAACCTTCAATATCCAGGACATGTTTTGATATTCCCTTTTGTGTTTGAGAAAAACTAAATTTTACTTCATTCTAAAACTATTTTTTGTACATGATGTGTTCTTGTAACAGTCCATGAATTAAACAACTTAAAAAATTATTGTATTGGAAAATCTAATATTGTTGATTTGTGACGTCTTCCAAACTGGTAAGTGCATTATTAACCAGTAGGAAAACACTAAATATACTGTAAATTCAGAGTTTATTGTGAGCATTGATTTTTTCAATTTTGACATGGCCAACCAAATTTTGAGATTAATTATTGCGATTTCAGCAAAAGCTGCATGCACATGTACGTATCAGATATCAGAGAGGGACGAAAGATACCAGAGGGACAGTCAAACTCATAGATCAAAAACAAACTGACAACGCCATGGCCAAAAATAAAAAGACAAACAGACAAATAATAGTACAGATGACACAACATAGAATGCTAGTTTTTATAATTGCAATACTCACCCAGTCGCAATAATTTCTGACTTTACATTAAATAAATGGAGGACCAATTATAAATGTAATGGTTGTGACTAATGATTAAGACTCTACCTCTTCCAACTTTTAAGGATTTAAGGATTCAGAGTTATTGATGGCATGCTTCAGTTTTATGATGCTATATAAGGTGTGGCCCTTATTTACAATTATAGATATAACATGATAAACAGATCAAAATTTTACAGAGTTTTAATTATATTTTATTATTCATACTCAACAAATATTATGTTTGCCTTTATGATATAAAGTCATTATATTATTATTACTATTTTTGAATTTTAAATCATGAACATTTTTGCTGTCAACATTTATGTGTTTGTCATAATGCTTGTAATATATATGTAAAACTCTTAAACGTGTCCATCCCCTCAAACATGTCCGATTCCCCCAAACGTATCTATTTCGGCCAAACGTGTCCTTAAAATCTTAAATCGCCCAAATGTGTCTGATTTTACATCCCCCAAATGTGTCCAATAATTGTTATTCGCCAAACGTGTCCAGTTTGAAATGCCAAAAAAACTCAAAACTTTTAGCGCTAATATATCCTCAATGAGGTGAAATAACGTTTACGGCAATGAAGGGGGAGACAATAGAAGACGTCTATCGGGTTTCAGTTGGATTCTAAACATAATATCGTAGCCGCTATCCAAGGACATCCAGAGGAAAGATGTAGTGATCCGTATAGACAAATGTCCAATATATGGTAAACTATGCACAATAACTTTTGCATTCCAATAAACAGACATCAGATAACAAAAAAAATAGCACAATAAAAAGTTAGTTTTGCTTACAGCGGTTTTATTAATCTTTTTTAAATCAATATGATTATAATGATCGTTTTATGGATGTACTTTTTTATCTTGCAAGTTTACCCAGTGCTTCACTATTGTGGTCATTTATGAGCATTGTATAATTAACTATTGCCTGTTGATTGCTGTCCAGTAGCAAATATTTCATGTATATTTAGAGCAAACGAAAGAAAATGCAATTAACTAGTTTTGTACAGTTTAGTTCATTGCTTACTTAACGAATTCTTTTGTTCTTTTTTGGCTTTATATGATACGTTTGGTTGGATTGAACACAATGTGGCGTTTTAAAAAAATGTACACGATTTGGCGTTCATAAATAGAACACGTGTTGGCGCCCTTTAGCAGCTAGACATGTTTTGCAGTTCAGTGACGTCATATGGACATGTTTGAGGGAATCGGACACGTTTGGGGGGATGGACACGTTTCTGAGTTTTACATATATGTTTAAGTTCACATTGGTAAGTTAATGTTAAAGTCCTTAACTAAAATCTGAACAGGTTGATTTCTTTTAACATAAATGTACTGAAGGAAAATTTATACTCGTTTTACGAGAGTCATTCTTGAAATTCTTTAGATTTTTTTTTAAATTCTATACTGCATATTTAAGAATTTTTTTTTAAAAAAGGGGGCACACATTACAGATGATATAGTCAATAATTATATATAATAACACACATCAAAGGGTTTGTAAAATTAATTTTGACTTGTTTGTTAAATCCTGAATATATTAGTATTTAATGTTATACCAAAACTCTTACAAGGTGAATTTCATATTTTTATTATTTTTAATGTGTATTTGTATTAAAAAAAAAAATCACTATTTTTTAGACCCCACCAAATATGACTGGTTAAGCTCAATAAAAAAATATTAGTTAATGTCTTTAGAATGGAGTCATATGATCCTTCAAATTTAACAAAAAAGGGGAATATGTTTTATATTCTTGAATATCTAAGTATTACTATAAAACATGTGTACATAGACTTACCGTGATTCGTCAAAATATCCTTAACGTGTTTCGTCAGAGGTCTCAAATAAATATAGTTATATGATTTAAAAAAAAAAAAAATAAACGTGATTCGTCAAAATCAGTCTAGTTTTTTTATCGTCTGAAAGAAAGTACATTTTATCGTCATGCACTAAAACTTACCGTTAACCATACCTGCCAACCTCCAAAACCTTCAAAGAGGGAGATCTCCCCCTCAGCTATGACAGTTGAGGGGCAGATTTTGCGCAATCGACATTTTCAAGTTAAATATATGACCTGTTTACTTATTTATCTACAAAACACCAATAAGAGTTAATAAATTTACTTTATTTCTTCAATTCATGGTTATAATCTACACACTGTGGTTTTTGTTTGCCTTTTTCAACACCTCTGAGTCTTACACTGATCATGCTATCAAACGTCGTATAGACCACCAGAAGAAACCGAAAAGCTTATTGAACATGATGTGCAAAATGAAGATTCATTGCCAAGTGTCAGTGAACTTGGTCGTAAAATTGAAAATTTTTCATTCAATCTGCTTGACATTTCGATTTGCAGTTATCTATTTCTTTATTTTTACACTTCCACTTGGTCCAGACTAAGACCTTTATCTTGTTAGAGTTGATATAGCAGAAATGAATTTCGATCACTTATAAATCAAACATAAAAACTACTGTGCAAAGTTTTCAAATGATCGCTGATTGTTTATTTATTTCTATTGACAGTAATGAAAAAAGGCAGAGAATTCAGAACGCGGTTCATTTCAAATAAAAATATCTGAAAGAGGGAGATTCAATACTCCAGCGGGGGAGGGGACTAGCAAGCAGGAGATTTCCGGAATTTCGTCGTTTGTGCGGGAGACTCCCGCTCTTCCTTTAAAAATTCACCTATCACACAGTGCAAGTGAGAAGAGAAACCTGTAATTGGAAAAAAAGTGAACAAACATGGTCACAATTTGGTAAACTTTGGCATCCAAACCTGAAAGTAATTAGCAGCCAAAGCTTTTTTTATCAAAAATCTCCAAATGCAATATTTTTTGCAGATTATAATTGATTGATTTGTAACAAATTTAAAAACAAACATGCACAGATGACTTAGTTTAGTATATATGAATGTTGAATAATTTTCTTAACATTAAATTACCAGAAAATCAGTTCATATTGCTTTCAATTCATAGGTGCTATTTGTATTTTTTAAAGATTTTTTAGGTGTAAGGTCAGTTCAATTTATTGCTTCATCCTTTTTTAAAATGTAAATCCTTTCTTCAGTTCCATTAGATTTCATTTGTATTTATAAACATTTAAATCCTGATCGAAAAAAAAACATGATCAATCGAAATCCATTAAAGTTTTTATTGTAAAGAAGTCTTTTGGACAAGACTTATCAGGACAGAAATATGTTTATCTTGCTTTGTTGAAAGTTTCAAACTGAAGATGTAGTGAACCAGAATATCCCAGTTTTAAGGATATGCGTATCTTCATCTATTCATTTAACTCGATCCTATGCTAAGTTGTTTTCTAAGCACAGTATCCTAAGCAAAAAAATATAACTGAAATACTTCAGACTTTTTCATTTTGCTCAAATATTATGAAATTCTTCTTTCTAATTTCTATTATAATTGTCAACATTAATTTATTCCATACATTCATATGAAAGTTCCAAAGACATCTTTTACATGCCAAAATTCAGATTTCTTTCAAATATTTGTATCTGAAAAGAAAAGCACATGGACCTAAATTTTAATACAATCCATCACAAATTACTACACATTCTTAGTGAATTTTAAGTGTTAATAATTTTTCAGTTGTATACATTTTTAATTTATTACCCTTGGCTAAATCAAAATTAATTTTTTAATATAAATTTTACATAATCTTGTGTTTTTAGAGTTTTCCTATATTTCAATAGCTTAATTGAATCAGAGTACATTACACACATGATGGGGACATTTCATTGAGGACAAAGATTGATATAAACAGGAGAAATTTTACATGTAATGTAACAAAATGCAACTGATAAAAATGGATAATAGAAAAAAACTTCTCTATAACTTTAATACTGGTAATAACTTTTTTTATAACCCGATGTAAAGATTAAGTGTGCAAGGAAACATTGAGATATAGAATTAAAATGGAATTGATATTGCATGCAATGTGTTTGTTGATTATTAAAATATCTTGTTTCTATGACAACCAATAAGATGTTACTAATTTATTGTATTGCTATTTATTGATTTGTTGACAGTGTACATAATAATTTATATATATTATTGTACATGTAATTGTCAAAGTTGCATTTAAATAGTTTTATACAATAAAACATCAGACCATTAGTTTTTGTATGCAATTTTTCCAAGTCTTATATCAACAAATATTTATATACCCCTGCTTTCGGCAGTATATAGTGAGGGGGGAGTCTGTTTGTTCGTCCATCCATTCATTTGCTATTTCTTCTGTCCCATTTTTGTATCTGCACTGCTCCTGAATGGTATGACAGAATGTTTGGGGGTAAAGATTACATTCATGCATTCAAAACCCTTATGTGACGGGCTTGATCATTTTTTTTTTTGCTATTTGATATAAAACAAAACATGGTGCATTGAGCACAATATTTAGTCCCCTACTGACAAAGTCGAAGGGGACTTTAGGTTTGCACTCCGTCCGTCTGTTCATCTGTCCATCCGTCAGTCCGGCAAATCAGCTTTCCACACTTTTTTTCTTCGTTCTTGGAGATATTGATTTGATATTTGGTATATAGTTTTATCATGACAAGTTATAGATCAAGTTCGAATTTTGTTCCGGTCTGATGATTTTGTCCAGAGTTATGGACCATAACTCTGGACCATATCGAATGTTAGAGTACTATGTTAAACCATATTTCTGTACAAAGGGAGATAACTCATTTTTTAATAGACATTCTTTGTTAAATTATTTGAAGAATTTTTTTGGCAGGTTTGTTTGTTATTTAGTATAAACTAATTTTCCGAATGCTATATATATAAAAAAAACTATGAAGAGAAATCCTTTAATTAGATAATAATCTATTTGTATTAATGTATATATTTCAATACATTACATTGTGTAGATAAAAGTTGTTGACATTTTATAGGTAAGTTACAAATCTATATTAGTTTGTGACAAATGAAAGAAAAAATATTTGGAACTATTAATTATATTTGATTATAATTTGAAAATAGATATACACTGCATTACATCATATCTAGTTTTAGAGAACTATTAATCATATCTTATGTTTTTTTCACTCATATAATCAGTTTTCCTCACTGTTTTTAGTCATGCTTGAAGATATTGACATGATATTTACTTTTTGTTTACACCATGACAAGTTATAGAACAAGTTATCATTGTGTTCCAGTAAAATGAATTTTTACCCGGTAGGGGACTATGTATTGCCATGCAATACTCTCAGAATGCTTGTTATACATCATATCCATGAAGATTTCAAGAAATTAATTAATTGGATATATACTCAATTTTAAAATTAGAAAATGGTGTTTACGTTTAGTATCTGTTCCAAAATATCAATGATGTCATTGTCATAGTGATATTTGTCCTGTTGCAGTGACATAGATATACCTGGCATCCTTCTATCCATCCGTCTGTCAGGATTTTTTAGCACACTCACATGTACAATTCCTGCAAGATTTTTATGAAACTTATATCATAGGTTTATATAAGCAATGTCTTGGACGAGTTTGAAAATGAGTGCTGATAAATTATTTTTAAAGAGTTATGATAAAGAAAAAAAAGTGCTTTTTTAAGTTATTACCCTTGTACCTTGAAAAGATAACATATGTGCAACTTTGCGAAACATTGGAACTCTGTTCTTCTAATTAACATTAGAGTTATCTTCCTTTGTCTTTAATTGTAGTTAAACCAGTTAATAATATTGCCTTGCAATCTTAACCATATAATACTATTTTGTACCTTCTATTTTGTTTTGTATCAGAATGATTTTTGGGGTTTCCATTAGCTATAATCTATTTTGTATGGACAACTCCTCAACCTCTTATTTTCCAATTTATTGAGATTTTCTTACAATATTTTAATATACAACAAATGCATTTTTATACGACCACAAAAAAATTTTGCGATCGTATATTGGTATGACGTTGGCATCGTCATCGTCGTCTTCCGGCATCGTCGTCGTCCGAAGACACATTGGTTTTCGCACTCTAACTTTAGTTTAAGTGAATGGATCTCTATGAAATTTTACCATAAGGTTCAATACCACAAAAGGAAGGATGGGATTGATTTTAGGGGTTATGGTACCAACAGTTAAGGAATTAGGGGCCAAAAAGGGGTCAAAAATAAGCATTTTTGTAACTTCCAGACATAACTTGTGTGTTAGTGTATGGATCTCTCTGACATTGTACCACAAGGTTCCATATCACAAAGGGAATGCTGGAATTGATTTTGGGGGTAATTGCCTCAAAATTTTAGGAATTAGGGGCAAAAAAAGGGGCAAAAAACAAGCATTTTTTTATGGACAAATACTAAGTACAAAACATAATTTAAAGCAGTGTAAGGGAGATAAATCAAATACATCATTTGAATTACCTCCCTTACACTGCTTTTAAATTATGTATAAAGTAATGGTTAATGAACAATTAAGACAATTTAAAACAGTGTAAGGGAGGTAATCCACATACAACGTTTTGATTACTTCCCTTACACTGCTTTTAAATTATGTTTAAAGAAATGCATATTTATAAAGGAAGACCAGTAAAAATATCTGCAAATGTTGCATCTTTTTTTTTTTACAAAAAAATCCATATGAAAGATTTGACACCATATTTTAAATTCTATTATAAAATAGATTAAGTTAGCACTATGGTAAATTTAAATGGGTAATTATGGTTGCAAATTCCATTGGAAATTTGAATTGAGATTATGACCATATCTTGAGGGAAAGAATTTTTTTGGGGAAAAAGGGAGGGTGGGGGGGGGGGGGGTAAAAAGAAAATGTGGGGGGTCAATTTTTTCTCATTTCAGATTTCACAAATTAAAAGAATTATTCTTCAAATATTATTTTTTTTTCAAATTTCAAATATTGAAAAATTTCAAGAAGTAATCTTTAATTGCACAGTATGGCACATTAGATTTGTAAAATCTTTGACCACATTTATTTATTTGTTATGCCAAATCTGACCGTGTATTTAGATTTTTAATTTTGGGTCCAGTTTTCAAATTGGTCTACATTAAGGTCCAAAGGGTCCAAAATTAAACTTTGTTTGATTTTAACAAAAATTGAATTCTTGGGGTTCTTCGATATGCTGAATCTAAACATGTATTTAGATTTTTGATTTTTGGCCCAGTTTTCAAGTTGGTCCAAATTGGGGTCCAAAATTAAACTTTGTTTGATTTCAACAAAAATTGAATATATGGGGTTCTTTGATATGCTGAATCTAACCATGTATTTTGATTTTTGGGCCCCGTTATCAAATAGGTCCACATTGAGGTCAAAAGGGTCCAAAATTAAACTTTGTTTGATTTCATCAAAAATTGAATTCTTTGGATTCTTTGATATGCTGAATCTAACCATGTATTTAGATTTTGGATATTGGACCATAATAGGTAAATTAAAAAAATTTAAGTTCTTAGACCACATTCATTCTGTGTCAGAAACCTATGCTGTGTCAAATATTTAATCACAATCCAAATTCAGAGCTGTATCAAACTTGAATATTGTGTCCATACTTGCCCCAACTGTTCAGGGTTCGACCTCTGCGGTCGTATCAAGCTGCGCCCGGCGGAGCATTTTATTCTTTAATTGTAGTTAAAGCAGTTCATAGTATTGCCTTGCAATGTTTCATACAATGCATTTTTTTTTAATTTTAAGTTTCCATTGCAAAATGTATGCAATCTTTACCTTCAGTGCTCACAAGCACTTTGGGTTGAATCTTTTCAAGAATCTTACACACATGATTTACTTTTGTTGCTACTATTTCATTTCTTCATCTGAATCACTTTTTATGTTAACTTGGGTATACACTGATTTTGTCAGATCTGCACATTGTAGTACACATTTGTTTTCGCTTCCTCCCCTAAATTCATTATCATAAGTTGATGAAACTTATTTAGAATCTTTACCATATAATACTTTTGTGCACCTCCTTTGTTTTTTGGTTTAATTTTTTTTTTTTTAATTGTCCATTAGCAAAGTATGGAATTTCCTATTGTTTTATTACGGTGTAGCCCAACTTGTAACTTGTATCTGTAACTCTTTAAACTCCTTACATTGAAACTTTCTAACAATCTTAACCATATTATGCTATTGTGCACCTTCTAATTTGTTTTGTATCAGAATATTTTTTGGGATTTTCATTAGCGATAATCAGTTTTGTATCTACAACTCCTCCTAAACCCCTTCTTTTCGAATTTATTGAAACTCTCTCACAATATTAAATATATAATGCAATTGTGCACCTCTTATTCTGTGTCCTGATTAGAATAATGTTTTGGTTTCCCATAGCAAACACGGACTTTGTTGTAAGGGGAGGAGGCTATCATTTATTGAGCTTTAAACTTGAATGGGTGTATGAATACACATACTACATCGATCTTCATGTATCTTATCATAGGGAGAGATAACTCTTACTTTGTAAAAAATCATTATGATTCAAACAAAAAATCTCTGAAACTGATATTATCAAGATGGTGGATTATTTGATTGACAACATTTTTGGTACGTTTGGAGGACGTGTATATCAATAAGCAATTGGCATTCCCATGGGAACCAATTATGCTCCTCTTCTTTCCGACTTGTTCCTTTATTCGACATATGATGCTGACTTCACACAGGAGCCTTTTATGAAGAACTACACGTTCCACTATATAGATGATGTCCTCTCACTAAATAATTCAAAGTTTGGTGACTATGTTGAACGCATCTACCCCGTCGACTTTGAAATAAGGGATACAACATAAAAAGTTAAGTCTACATCATACCTTTGACTTTCGTCTAGATGTTGACTATGAGTGTCGATTGAGAACAAAACTTTACAAAACAAGAGATGATTTCAGCTTCCATGATGTAAACTTTCCATTTCTATGCAGCAACATACCAGCAGCACCTGCATATGAAGTATATATATAGGAGTTGATACGATATTCAAGTGGGTTCATTTACTATCATGATTTCCTTGATAGAGGATAGCTGCTTCCAAGGAAGCAATTGAACCAAGAGTTCCAAAACGTGATGTTGAAATCATCCCTTCGAAATAGTTGTAACCAAAATCCCATTCTCGTTTCCTCGAATGTGAGCTACCGAATTAGACGTTCACAGGGTTTGTACTTACACGAGCAACAC